GTATCGGGTCGGCTAGGCGTAGACTGGCAGGGCGCGAACTCTAGGATAACGGAAGCTAGATCCTTGAGAATCGAGGGATGTTAGATTTGGAAGATCTATAAAGCAAATCATTTACAATCATTTCATTCATACTTCGAAGTGTCAAAGAGTAGTAGGGAAAAGGCGGAAAACACGCGAAAATCCATTTTCTACCAAATAACCGCGGAAATCATTTTTCGGCCATTTTCTGCCATTGTCTACCTGCTCACCTCGATGTCCATAACAAGAAACGCGCGGAAACCCATGGCTGCCAATTTCGGCCAATTTCGGCCAATGTTAACCTGACTTCCATTGTAGGCCATGGTATGCATGGATGTGATGGGGACAACGAGGGACGACTTCGATTCCTCCCCATTGTCTTGTTGACTAAGGTAAAGAGAGAAAGACCATGCACTACTCCATGCTTATTCAAGGCTCACCTACCAACGGCTCATTTACATGGGTTAATCCGTACAAGTACAAGAATCCCTATATCACTTCCATGACTGTCCTGTTTCATCCTAATGGTTCGATGTTTAATAACGTAGACACGACGAATGTGATTACTAACAGCAATGATGAGACTGTGACAATCCCTGCTGGTTATTACACGATCAGTGAGATCATTGCCTTGCTCAATACCATGACCGATACTACATTCTCCATATCGACGAATGCCTCGTCGTTCGGTTGTATTTGGATTCAGTCTCCACACACCATTGACTTCACAGATGCACCTGACATTCGTGAGATCCTCGGCTTCGATGGACGAACGGTCATTCTACCTGCTTCGTTCAGTGGATCGAACGTGATTGATATCACGCGAAATCGTCAAGTGATCCAGGTCTACTCGACGATCGTGCGATCATCAGACCTGAAGATTGCCAACCAGAACAACAACCTGCTCACCACAATGATTATTGACGATCCAACGGCTGACTATGTGCGAACTGTGGAAGACGTGCGCATACCAATGATCACTCGGTTTGATCAATTGATGTTCGTGTTCCGCGATATGGATGGCAAGATGATGCGATTGAACGGCGAATTCGAACTCCAGTTGACGATTGAGGATGTGTACGAGCAAAGTGAAAATAGCGTCACTTCCGCTAATCAGTTCTCCATGATTGAGGTGTTCGGCAATACCACGAAGAAGGAAGTGAAGCTGGACAATCCTCTCTCGTTCGACCAGTGCTACATCTCGTCTGTGTCGTTGTATACGGACTTCGTGTTGCACAATGTGCCGACTGATCAAGTGGTGCTAATCAATGCTGGCGCTACGATTCAAGAGATCGCGATACCACGCGGTGCATATGACATCGAAACGATCATTGCAAAGCTGAATGCAAGTGATGCCCTGTTCGAATTGGTGTATAGCGGTGAGAACGCATTCCACGTCACGGTGAATCACTTCTACACGATCGATTTCACGAAAGCACCAGAGATCAAATCGATCCTCGGATTCGAATCGGACACCTTGGTGAAAGGACTTGACAATCCGAAACGGTACTACATGTCGTCCTCGTGCAATCAAGTGGTTGTTACTAACGGCACTGACTCGCACGTGTTGATACTGCCTACTGGATACTACACGTTCAGCGAGTTTATCGAGGCTGTGGGTGCTGAAATGGTGAAAGTGCTACCACTCACATCCATGACGATCGAGGATGACCATGTACGCTTCAATGACCAAAGTGAATCGTGGTACTTCGATCGATCCAGTGTTGATACGACGATCGATGGTTTTGAATGGACTCCATGGTTCAAACTGTCTCCGTCTGTGCAGAACCTGTGCATCGAGCGACCTATTGAGACTCAATTCGATCCTGCGAATAGTGAAACCCCACCCGATGAGACGAATGATCAAGGACTTGGTGGACATGCATACCTCGATCCGTGCTTTGTCGAATATGACTGGGAATTGCGCACGAATACACCCTTCTTCATACTGAAGCCACAAGTGACGTACACGATGACGAATAGTGATGGTTCATTGTTCGATTCTGGCACATTCTACGTAACGGAAGACACGGAAACACTGATGTCCTTGGAATCACTCAGGAACTCGTGCTTATCACAGTTGAATGCGAAGTACCAAGAGGCACGTGATATCACATCATCGCACCAGGAAGCGATTGCATGGACTGGTGGCAAAGCAGGCGATACAGTAACATGGACTGCGAAAGCTTACGCGCCTGATCTCGAATTTGACATGAGAGCTGATAACATGAACGTGCCTATGACGATTAACGACGATAAGCGTGGTGGATCATTCGGACCATTGTACTCCAAGGACAGTGTGTACAACGATAGTGTCTGGGTTGATACATCGCATATCGTTGTTGGTCTCGATGGTTATAGCGAAACAAAGACTGTGACAATCGAACGAGGATCATACAGCGCATTACAGATCGCGCAGATGATTGCTAATGGCTTCAATGCTATCGATGGATATCGGATATTTGATCGCACGGATAATAGAGGTCTGGTATACTTAGGTCCTCGTTCCAATGATCATCCTGATATGCTAGTCATATCCAATGACAATCCTTACTTGCCATTGACTCCAGGATTGACTCGCAGAATCGATTTCACCTTTCATCGCAATTACTACATCAGGATGCCCGAGTTGACAACGCCGTACGAGTTTGCGATGGCAAACATTGATGGACTAACGGCGTCGAACATGATTAATACGAGTGTGATTACGAATCGTGAAATGACTGTGTCGTTCAAACAGCCAACATGCGTTGCATATGTGGGATCTCCCTCATTCACGTCGGGTTCATTCATTGAATGGGAGCTTCCTCAAACGTACGAGACTGTTTCAACGATGCGCTTCCCGTACGGCGTGATGAGTCTCGATGGAGAGAATGTTGAGACTGATATCACGTACACGGATGATGCTCAGACATTCACGTGGAGCATACCATCACGATTGACACAGGCTGACTTGGTGTGGAAATTGAACCAGTGTTTTGACTCGGCTGCACTAAACATACGATGGATACCCGAGTCAGATGGCTATTACATTCACGCGGACTACGTGTTCTCGTTGAGTGGTAACCTTGGCACGATCATTCCCGCTTCAGGATCGCAATCGCATACATGGCGTATCCCTTTCGACGATGGTGTGTACTATGCCAACTACGGTCCGATGGTTGCCGAGTATCCTGTCGATATCACGAACGGTCTATCGAACATACAGCTGTATTGCAACATCGTGAAAAGCAAGACGATACCACTGCTTGCGAATGTCCCGATGGACAGCTTGTACAAGAACTACTTCTACAAGAATCGCATGTTGGTACCATGTTCTGAATTGCTTGATCGCATCGTGTACGAGTTGAAGGACGAAAATGGTGACCCGCTATCGTTCATTGGGAACGTGTACCTGCTGATCGGCTTCACTGTTTCAGGAGGAAATAATAAATGAATCTAGTGTTCAACATTGCTCGAACGTACGAACATGAATTCACAAGTAACAATCTCATCAAAAGCGACATGGTAATCGATCGAGTGACTATGAAGGGAGAATCGCCTGGTACCTGCCTTGTGCTCGATCGAGTGAACAACATGCAAGAACGACGACAGTCTCCGTTGGTTGTATTGAACGAAGGAGGGGGAAGCTTCGCTTCCCCCGGGGAGTCTACGACTCCCCACACGTTTACGGAGAATGCACACATGAACGTCGTGGTACCCAAAAGTCGCAAATGGTCATTCTCGTTGACCGATAAGACCGGTGCAACGATTGCCCTGCCAATGCCGATTACAGTGTGCATTCACTTCTACACACTGTAGGGGCAACTGCGTTGCCCCCGGGGGAGACGTAGTCTCCCCTACATAAATGAGTCATAATCGTGCACTACCGGTGAGTGTGATTAACCACAATACAGTAATTCCGAAGAACAACGAACGATACCATGAAACGTTCAACACAGTGATCATGCCTCGTGACCTTGTGTACAAGATCACTTCGATTACATGCAAGATCGATACAACGTCTCTATGGAACATTCGTGCAATAAATGTGGTGAAGGTTCAAATGTTGTCAGGGTTTGAAATGGTGTACAACGTCGGTCCTGGCTACTACTCGATTACCGAGTTATGCCGTGCGATAGCCGATTCCATCCAGGTAGACGATGTTAACCGAGCATACTTGAACAGTGACGTGGCGACCGCTGTTGACCTTAGTGGCGCACCTGATTACACGAGCATCCTCAAGTTGGAAGGCGTCGTTACTGATTCCACTGTCGCTACGGAACCCTACGACATCACGAATGGCATGAGTGTGATCCGAGTCTACAGTAGTATCAATGCGCAAACATTCGGTCTGAAGAGTCCGCTGATCGATAATTTGATTCATGTATCGATGGGACTGAACAACATGATCACCTGGGACAACCTATCGATCGATGTGATTGAACAATCGAACCTGGACTACATTGATTGGGTACTGACAGACGCGAATGACCGTCCGATCTCATTGAATTCGAATGTCTACATCTCATTCACCATTTCGTGTTATTCGAAAGAGACAAAGTAAAGAAGGGGAGACGGCAAAGTCGCCCCACATTGTTCCTCCCATAGTAAATGGATGAATACGTTGCTACAATTCCAATCATTCGATACAAGCCACACAAAGTGAAATCGAGAAACATGATGGACAAGATGTTGAATCGTTATTTCGATAAAGTCGTTGAAAGTGAATTCAATCAACAGCGAATGAGGAGCGAACAATGGCGACAGAAGCGAACTTTGTTTGATTCGTACATGAATCTCTCACCCGCTGAACGTCGTCGTGTATCCGTCTCTGACATGCGTGGATATCAAATGCAGCGAATTGACGATGAGAACGTACTGTTGTACTCATTCGAGGACAATGCGGTCTACAATGCTAAAATTGAGAAACGATTCAACAAGATCATTGTTCAGTCTGTGAATCACGAGTTGTCTGATATGGAGAAACGAGCTGTGTTTGATAATCCATTTGGATATGAGCCAGTATCACCCTATCGTCTCAAGTACAAGAGAACACAGGTTGGCGATGCACAAATCGTGAATATACCTGGTGATCTTGGAGCCAGCATCAACGAAATGAAGAATGCTGCTGATGCCATAACGGTTGCAGCTCAGCAAATGGGAGATAGTATCAACACAGTTACTCAACAGAGTGCAGCGATTATCAATGATTTTTCTGGCTTGCGAGACGATGTGACAGAACAAGGTGATCCAAATCGAGATGTCCTGCTGTGGAATGACGATAATACTACGGCATATAAAAGAGGTGTGACACACACTACGAAACGAGGTAGTACGAAATATAGAGATTTGGTAGCTGAAGGTCGCGTTGAACGTGATCGGTGGTTGATCAAACCTGAACAACAACCTCTGAATGTGACGAATGAAATCGTACAACAGATGGATGTGAAGCCCATTATCGCCAAGTTGAATCAAGTGATTAGAGTGATGAATAGCTTTGATATCCAGGTGAACCTTGTCAATATTTATAATGCAATAGCTTATGTAGCACAACGAATCAATTTCCTGGAAGAAGATAAGGACAAGGGTTATCCTAAGATGTTAGAATTGTTGAATGGTGTACAAACAAAATTGACAAATACGAACGATGGAATCAAGTTGTTAAGTGAGAATTATGCTAAAGTGGTAGAAAGCATTGCTACAGGAGATGAAAAGTTGTCGAAGGAAATTGGTGACTTGGTAAATCAACAGAAAGCTGTGATTGAAAATAGTAATCAGTATTTGCAACAAGTCGAAGCTCGTCTGCAAGGTATTGAAAACAAACCCGATCCTCCTGCAATTGCTGATATCCAAGCATTGATTCCAACCCAAAGTGAAATGCGAATCGATGATTTGATGAAGTTTATGAAGGAGCAGTACAATGATTTCTTGCAACAGTGGCTTGAGCGAAATAGCTTCATTCAGAAATTCGTATCTGGTGAGTTGGCAAAAGCATATGACGAAATCAACAAACGGTTGGTTGAATCATTCAATCGTTTCGCACCTATGTTTAGAAATATTTCTAATAGAATAGCGCTTATGAATATGAAACTGGTAACTCTTGGTAAAGTTGTTGCAGAAGAGGGAAAGGCAACTAGGCAGCAATTATTGGATGGTACGAATGCTATGGGTAAAACTACTGACCTGATAACAAATGGATTCAATTCCATGAGTAGCCAACTTGCTGATAATCAGACTAAAACTACTGACCTGTTGACAGAAGGTATTAATGCAGTTGGTAAACAACTCACTGACAATCAGACTCAGACGGCTAACATGTTGACAAATGGATTCAATTCCATGAGTAGCCAACTCACTGATAATCAGACTCAAACTAACAACCTATTAACAAATGTTGGTAATGCAGTTGTTGATGGACATGCTCAAACTGGTCAGCTGCTTACTACAATGAGTAATCAATTTGCTGATACTCAGCTGTCCCGGGAACAATTATATCAACAATTGTATCAGCAGAATATGAGAGGAATCCAGAACTTAATGGATGCCATTTGGCAATCATATGAATATTTCCGGAATCAGCCACAAATTCAACCTGTGATTGTACTGGACGGTCGTCAATCTGAAAGTGTAAATGCTAGTTTCACACCTCAAGCAATCGATCAAGTGAATCGAGCTGCAGCCTTGATTGACGCGTATGAAAGTACAGATTCTAATGACACCAAGGAAAGTTGGGAAAGCGATGATACTCGCGACGATTTCATTGCTTTCTCAAGTTTGCTTGCTCGCAATTTCAACAATCCTGTTTTCGCTCAATTTGCAAATGACCTTGGATTCTCACGTCTCTTCAGGGCTTATCGTGATCGAAATGAAGACTCCGAACTGATGAGTTTCTTCATACGAGTAGCTAATAGTAAGGACCTAACTCCTGATTATTTGAACCATATGAAAAACAAGATCAAACGGTTTGCTGTCAATGTAGATCAACAATTCGAGCAATATCTGCAAAATACGTACAACACGATCAAGGATATGTTCATTACACAGGGTTTCAATGGCTAAATGAAGACGGACAATATTCTTTTCACTTTGTAGGCATGGGGAAGCGCTGCTTCCCCGGGGAGAATGAAATTCTCCCCATTCATAGGGGCGACTAAGTCGCCCCGGGGAAATCTACGATTTCCCCCATACATAAATGGCAATTCCATTCACTGTTGATATATCTGCTTTCTATGGCGAACCCGATTTCCGAGAACAGGATAGTGGAACGATTGTGGATCGACGCAAGACATTGAATCTACACAAGGAACTCGAAGCACCAGTAAACAACACACCAAAGAGAGCCAAGAAACGATCACCGAAGCGAGCTCCAGCGAAAAGTGCTGGTGCCATTGGCTTCAATGGGGCGACCAACGGTCACCCGGGAGGCAACGCTGTTGCCTCCCCCAAGGACACCGGTGGAGCCATTGGCTTCAAGGAAGGTGGAGCAGCAGGAGGAAGTTGTAAACCCGGAGGAGCACTGGCATTCAATGAAGCGCAATTGATGAACGAGCTAACCGGACTCAAGAAAGGAGGGGCACTTGGTACTCTTGCTGCCACGATCATCCCAGCACTCATTCAGATGGCTCCACAGATCATCTCGAGTCTCAAAGAGCTAGTGAAGGGTAAGGAGGGAGGTGCACTGAAATTCGGAGGAGCTTCTGCTGTGTTCCTCAATGGAATCAACCCTAGCGATTACGACGACGTGTTGAAGACCATGAAAGCCATCGAACGACAAAGTAAAAACATCGAAGTCCGAGGTGGAGCCTTGTACGCCGGTTCAAGTCGTGTTGGCACGTTCTTCAAGAATGTCTGGAACAAGATCAAAGGTTGGTACGACAACAATGCCGACAAGTTGAAACCCATCACCGATATTCTGGTGAATGCTGGCACGAATGCTGCGAATAACGCGATCAACAAGGGTGTGAACTATGTGAGCAACAAGACAGGATCGGACACCGTGAAGCAGCTCGCGAACGTGGTGGGTGACATGGCAAAGGATGGCATCGCAGACGTCGCAAACCAGATTCAGGGAAAGGAAAGCAAAGCCGGCACTGGGTACGACATTTCGGACCTGGACAACGAGACACAAGCAATTGAAGTCCCGACGAAAAAAAAGAATCGCATCCTCACAGCCCTTCCACAGAACGAGAACAAGATAGAGAAATCAGTGATTCGAAGGAGAGTGTATTGAGGGGCAGCAACGCTGCCCCGGGAGGAAGCATGGCGGAACTTCGTTCCGCCGGGGCGACTTTGTCGCCCCAAAGCTCTGCTTCCTCCGTATTGAAGAAATTGTATATGCACGGCTACATGAATATGGATGCTGAACCAATGACTTTCGATGAAGTTCGAAAACTGGCCAAGCAACTCGAGATCCCCGACTTTGATGTGATGGAATTGGACAAGTACAAGAGACTGGCCAAGAAGTACAAAGAACCAGCGAATTGCATCATCTGGATACCATTCGAGGATAATAGTAAGCTTGGTCATTTCGTGTCTTGCTTCCGTGAACCCGATGGCACGCTGAACTACCAGGACAGCTTTGGTGAGATGAATGACTTCCCGTTGGCAGGTACGAACCGTGTGTTCCGTGTGAACAAAGTGAAATACCAGTCGATCTTTGCCAACAACTGTGGCTACCTGGCACTGCCTTCATCTATGTGACTACGCACGTAACGCTGTTGACCCAGCTATCCAGAGGGTGTAAGGGGAAGCGAAGCTTCCCCGGGGGCACGTAGTGTCCCCTACTGTAACTATTGTACTTAAAAGAGTTCAATACATAA